ACTACTAGTAGCTCCTGGCATTACTACTTGGAGCAAGAAGCTACTAGGAACAAAGGGCGTCGCTACTAGGAACAAGGACGCTTGGCTTGATGCTTCGAGGTTCTACCGCTTGGGCCAGCAGGGCGAGATGTCGAGGCGCGCCGACACTACGGTGCCACCGGACCAGGCCTTGGGCGGACCAGTAGCATCCTCTCAATATGCTAGACATTCAATCCAATTCTCATCGCAAGTGTTGGGGGTGGCAGGGGTTCGCACAATCCTGTAGCTGGACATCTTATCGGAACTTGGATTGTTTTCTTTGTTTGGACATTTGACAACTTAAAAGAACATCAAACTCACGACTCACGACCCAAATGACTACCGAAAAAGTTTCCATCTGAAGAATGCACCCCGCACACTCACTGATATAATGGTTTTACCAACACCCAACCCAGGGACCTACCCTTGGGGTGAGTTAGACCAGCCGGAGCTCGCAGTATGGGCGCGAAGCCACATTGGAGTTCCCGGACCCCACGTTCAGCTCCAACCCTTGCGATCGCATGGGGTCCAACCCTAGGGCTGAAAGTCCAAGCCATTTTCGTGTGAATTCGAAGTGTAGGACAACCATGGCTTGTCCTTTTTGGAATGTCATCTTCATCTTCAGACCTTTCTCCCTGCGGGGCCCGGCCCTGCGCCCTGCGACAGGTATCCTATCCACTTCCACATTTCGCAGGAGCGTTCGTTTTGCGACGGTCGGATCGAGCTCCAAAGCGTTCTCTGCGTAGAGGAGGATGGAAGCGATGCAGAAACTCCTTTTGGAAGCGATACAAAGATACGAGGGATAACTTATTAAGCTGCCGAGCTTCAGGGTTCCCCCATAGGAACAATCCACACATTTCTTCCATAGCTTTGTCATATAGCAAACAGGCTTCGAAGTTCCGGCTTTTTGAGTGGAAGTTCTTGGCTTTTGGGTCAAACTGGTCTCATCCTTTTGCTTTGAAGGTTGGGAAGTCCAGACCCAGATTGGACTCATCTTGGAGACATAGGCTATTGCTACCGGTGCGTTTGGTTTCAGGTGTGGTAGTTCTCAGTCTTCTCTAAAAGCCAGCAACAAAACCACAAAGAACAGCAGCAAAACGGATGCACCTATGCTTCTCCTTAGGCCTTTTGATGTTTTTCTTTGGCCGTTCTTTCGCACCGCAGGACTACGGGAAGAACTGCTACGCACGTTTCAACTCCATTCATCACAGTTTCCAACGAGTACTTGGCCTCGGAGGGATGGTGCAGGAACCAAGTGTAGTAACCAGGTGAGTGAATTCCTACATTCTTCACATTCTTGTGTGGCAAAAACCTATGATTTTCCATCTAACGGTTCAAGACATCTAGTAATTATTTGTGAAGGCATGGGTACAATTCTTCCCATATCTGCTGGATTCCCCCCAGATTTACATTGCAAAGCCGACCTGAAGATCTTGGGGAAGCATCAAAAAGCGCTCAGATCTCCATACTAGTAGCTCCTTGTTACTAGTAGCGATGCCAGGAGCTTCCTAGTAAGCTTCTCGTCTGAAGCTCGTTCAGTCCACGTAGCTTCTAGACGTCCACCATTCAGTCTCCTGGCGCCCCGTCCCCGTCCCCCAGCCTTCGAGGCCGTGGCTGTGCATGGCACCAGCTACGTGAACGTCAAGGGCAACGTGGCCTTCGACGTGGTCGGACACATGTGAGGGATCCCCGACGGCTCGAGCGGAGCGGAGGGGGTGGCTTCGGCTGGCGCAAAGCGGCGGCGGCTGACCGGCTGGTTGGATGCTGAGGGTGAAGGAGCGTTGTTGGTTCAAAAGCGTTGTTTTTGTCAGCCTTCCTTGCCGCGAAAATGTGTAGTTTGTTCTTTTTGTGAGTTCCATACCTGATTGTACTATATTAGCAGGAAAAATGCATTCTTCTGCCGAAACTCGAAGTGGAACTGGGCCAGGGTTTCTTCTGGACTTGGATACTAACTTAGTCCGACGGGGATTTGGGCGATTGGACTCGGACCAAATAGGCCAGGGGACTGGGTGGGGTGCTCGTGGCGATTGGATTCATGAAGTCAATGAAGTCTGAAGCTTGCGCAACAAGTTTGGCCAAATCGGATGTTGCGGCGCCGACCCCTACATGTCCCTCAGATGGTGCATATAAACCACCGACAGTGGGGAGCGCGCCATCTCAATGGATTGATCATACGACGACAGAGCTCCAACGAGAAGGTCGGGGTTTCCAGTACCTTCGACCTGCTAGGTTCTTCGTGGAGACTGGCATGGAGATGCAGGGGATCCTCAGTTTGCTTCGGGGGTTTGTTGCGGGGCAATTCCAGAAAGGGCTCAGATATTTTCGTTGAACTACCTTGAAATACATTGAACTATTTCGAGGTCTCTCTTCCTGAAATACCTCATAATGCCTCGAAATTGGGCTCAGAGTTTCCCGTTGATCTTCGAGGTCTCTCTTCCTGAAATGCCTTGACATTTACACCTTCAAGGAATCCACCATGGACGGCTTGATGGCATGTGCTGGTGCCGGTTGAATGTCCATCGTGGCTCGAACACATGAAGTTGATGGTTGCAAACTGCGTCGCACAGGTGACACAAAAGTCTGTTCGTCATAACAAAGAGTATATGTATAAGGCCCAAGATCCCGCAGAGAATCTGCTGAGTGCCCACAATTTGAATCTTACCTCGATCACCGTGACCTTTGCTTCAATCCCCATCACCATGGGTGATATCTCCAATCAGATCAGCAGCAAGTGACTGCTTGAGCAAGGTTGAATCCTCACTCACACCGTCTGCAAGAACAACGTCAGACCTAGGAAACAATCAAACGTGTCTGAAAAACATGTCAATAGCAGTGGGACGATAGCATACCATATGCATGTACAGTATACTTCAGCGTGTCACGCCTATATTAGGCTCAAGACTCCCGTAGAGCAAGCGGAAAACAAGTGCGCGCCATCGCTGTCTACGAGGGAGAGGATAGTCTACCTATACTTCACGTTGGGCAGATTAATATCCACACGCAGGTTATCAGCCGTAGCCGCTCTGAGGTTACGAGCCTTGAGAGACCAATACTGCAATAAAGACTCAACTCATAATGTCGAGTTCTGGAGGAAATAGCAGTGAACAGTTCTCTTTCGCTGCCCCAGGAAATGCATCGCAGTCATCACCTGGCTCAATTACCGGTGCTAGCTCTGCTGATGCTGCCACAGTGATTACCATGCCATCGGGTGATGGTAGAGTCGCTCCACTGGAGGCGACGTCTACCGGGTCCGACGTTAGAATGGGCAACGCAAAGAGAGTCATGAAGAGATTTACGAGATCTACATCACCGAGAACGACATCAAGAAGATCACCAAAGAGAGATATTGAGAGGGTTGAGATTGAAGATGCCAAGGAGCTTGAAGAAAGAGAAGTTCGATTATTGGAAGAGCTTCGATCAGCTAGGGTGTCGTATCAGTACTTGACTCTATGCTGAATCACAAGAGGAGTTTTCGCAACTGACAAGGTGCAATATGACTATGGGCACTCACCTACAAGAAATGATGCAAGGTGCATTTCACTACATCCAAGAACAAAACCAGACTTCTGACACCTACAGCAGACGAGCTCAGAATCTTAGTGAAGAGAATCAAGCGATTATGAACGTCGCCAACGAGCTAATGAGGATGCTGATGCTACAAGATAAGAACAGCAACATGTTGGAGGTAGCTCAGAGGGAAAGGGAGAAACAATGGAGCAGTGAAGTGCGTCAGGTGCAATTGGCCGATGAGATCGCTGAGACCACTGGTCATCAGCGCCAGGAGAAAAGAATGGTCGAGCATCTTCGTGGTCAGCTGGGAATCATCAAGGGATCAGAGATGAACATGATCGCAGGGATGGGTCATTATGACTTAGAGCACAAAGCAGAGATACAGGGATACAAATTGATACAAACTGGAAATCAGTGAGAAGGAAATGCGAGCGAAACAGTTTCAGTATGAGACGAGAGTGATGGCTGAAGCAACGAAGACAATGGAAGACGCTGCAAACGGGCTACAAAGGCAGTCGAAAGAGGAACAGCGACAGTTGAAGGAAGCCAGTTTCGCCCTCGCCGAGGCCAACAAGATATAGAATTGCTCTTGAAGAGAAATTTCGGGAACTTGAGGAGAACCAACAAATCGCTGTGAGAAGAAGTTGCTGGAAGCAAGATCCGAGAATGTGAGAATGAAGGCTGAAATGCGCCACGGTACCATGAAGGACGAAAGTCGAGATGGACGGGGGTTACCAACTATTCGGTTCAGCGAAGAGAGCCAATCACGTTTGAAAGAGGACCTAAAGCATCACGAGAGTGAAGCAGATAGGTTGAGAAAAGAACGTGATGAAGTTTTTGATTGGTACCTGGAAGCCTTTGACAGTTATGAGGAAGAACTCAAGGAAATGCAAGAGGTCAAGAGGTCGAAAACATGAACGCAGAACTCAAACATAGATTATCAGAGACTGCGTCGGCTTCCTCTTCTTCACCAACCTTCGCAACCAAGGTTTCTAGGAAGGAAGAGTCCAAGGTGAATGTACCACCGTGGCCCAAGGTCAACGATCTAGGACTATGGAAAGCCAACTTGATTCAGGCAATCGTCGTTGCAGCGAATGACTCAGATCAGCAGCCGTGGATTGGCTGGGTCAAAGCTGCTATTGATGGCTTTTCAGGCAATTCGAACTGCAGATCCCCATACCGCTCAGCCCTTTTCCAAAAGAGCCAGGAATTAGGTTCACTGGAAACTTTCTCGCGCTGAGACTTCGCGACTCGTGCAAGTGGCTGATCGAACATAATCTGTGGCGCATGGTTTGTGGTCTGAGACCGTCTGAGAGAAGCACACTGACACGCTCAGCGGGAACGCGCAACCTTTACAGAGTTTTGGTGGCGCTTTGGAACGTTGCAACCATGCCACCAGACCTGGAATGCCTCGCTAGGAACAATGTGGAGTGGACCCTTGTCAAATTGTTGTCCAATGTGCCAATGATCGTCCACAACGAGGGGCGTGGACGGAAGAAGTCGCCTTTAACTTTGTGTTTGCCTACAGCTCATTCATGGGTTTCGGGACCATAGCGGCATCGCAGTTACACGCAGATGCGATTGAACTTTTCCGAGTCTTCTCACACGCGTCGCTTTCTAACTGCTGTTCTTTCAAAATGCACAAGGACCAGGTGTCGCTTCATGGCGAAAGCCGGGGGGGGCCACGGCGTCGAATTCCACAGCGAAGGGTGTGTGCCACTTATGTCACGCCGGGAAGCTAGGCATTCCTGTTAAAGAATTTTGGGAGACGGCTGTGTGGGAGACGACTCTTCTGTGACCAGTGCTGGAATATTCCACCAGTTTTGTTGGGCCTCCCTCATCAGCCTAGTCGCCTGTGCCTCCCTGCACTTTGGCTTAGGGAAGACCTTTGTGGGAAGTGGTCTTGCTTTGATTTCAGATCGGATGGTATCAGGCAGTGTTGACGCACGATTTGAAGAGCTCACTGATGCAGTTCTGTGAAGGATCGGCATGCATTTGGCGCCATGCGTGACTACAATCGCCAAAGAAACGGTGGGGGGCCAGACCGACTACATGTCCAAACGGATATTGGTCGAAAGGCCATGTCGCGACCATGTTTCATCTCCCAATGGCTGGGCACACAATGTCTCTGCTTACGGAATGTTGACTCTGGCCAAACAGGCTGTCAATTTCTTGAATCGATCTTTAGAGCAGTTGTGTCGATCAGATGCCTGGCTCGAGCAGAATGTTTCTCGCAGCATTGGGCAGCGTGGCTTGCGGTTTGTTGAGGTCCATTGGCCCGGATCGCTTATGGCCTCTCAGTGGCACTAACGGGGCTCATGCCCAAGGCGCAGGTGTGCCACCACATCTGGGGCGAATGCATTTCTGGGAGGAGGCAGATCAACCCATTTTCTGTTGAATCAGCGAAGACCAAATCGGCAAGAAGTCGAGATTGGCGAGAAAAGTGCGTGCCACTCAAGCGATTGAGAGTATTACAACGTACATTGGCAGTGGCTCACATGCACTGGACGAAGTCAGGATTCTTGAAGGGCTGAGAAAGATTAAAAAAGTTCTTTGTGTTCGAAAGGGGGCAACTTGTGTGGCCACGAAAGCCATGTATGTAATTTCATGAATTTCCTGCTTTTGCAAGATTGGCAAAAAACCACATATTTTCAATTCCTGGTTTGAATGAAGAACCAAGTTCTCGCCCGGGGCTCATGGGTTCTGGTATCAAAAATACAAAAGAAGAAAAATACAAGGGCCCGCCTATGGCCATGCCAGATTTCAGGCGCCAAGAAACTTGGCCACATTCATTTTGATCATCCATAGGACAAGGACAAGCCTTTGCTCCCGAATTGGCCCTCATGTTTGACCAGAAGGTTCTTAACATAAGTGAATGTAATCGAGTGTGGGCATAGAACTGTTTGGGTATTGCTGGCTGCTGTTTTCTGGGTTTGGCGTTTCCACATGGGTGATCATCAGGGGTCAATGGTTAGAAGATCTGGAGAAAGCCTTTGACCCAAGCAGAAATTTGGGGACGGCAGTCCTCAAAATAGATTGAAGCAATTCCAATTACATGTTTTGAGGGTTTTCAATTCTCTACTTTCCTTAAGCCTGTGCCTTCGGTGGTTTTGGATTTTTATGCTGAGGCACAACGTGATTGAAGGCAACTTAGCCGTCTGTGCCTCAGGGATGTTAAAGTATTGTGGCTCCACATTTGGTGTGTCAAGGGAATTTATGTTGAGTAGGACTTTTGCATGATTGGTCGATTTTTTGACACTGGAAAGATCGTCTACCACACGAAAGTCCCCGAAGGAAAGAAACATAAATCACATTTCATGAGTCAAACGCCCACTTAGTTTGAAGGAAGGGCAAACGTGTAAAAACACTGAGGTGGGTGCCATTCCTTTGCTCAGTGGAATGCTGGAGAGTGACCAGGAGGGTCCAACCCCCCAAGCTGTGGGTGAAGTGAGACGACAGAGAGCGAGACGATGCTAACCTAATAGCGATGGCCTCCAACGATTCAGAAAAGAACGCTCTGAGACTCCAGGTGTTTTTGGGACCTCCGCCTGATCAAACCAGGAGCCGGCGGGATTTTGGACCGCAGCGCCCAACAACGTCTGGCGAGACAATGTTACTTGACTCAACGGTAAGCGGTGCCGGTGTTTGAACGAGCTGCCCCAGGTGGTCAACGAATGAATTCCCTGCTTCGACGTCGAGTGCAAATCGTCGCCCCACCGGTCGACATCTTCAGGTCGCAGTCACCGGCTCTGACGGTTGGTATTTCCAATTGCTGGGAGCCCAGGTCCTCTTCGCGAAACGACGAATCCCTCCACGCGAAACGAGACGAGACGACTCCAGGCCTGGCACGCCGATCTCTCAGAACATGGACGTTTACAAGGCAGGGATAAAATGTCAGCCCTGAGGTTCTTGAGGAAGGGAGGATATATAAGGGCAGTAAAGTTTTGTTTCTAGTCCAAGGTCGGTTGGTTTTGAGGCCGATGGTAGCTATTGGTAGGTTTGCACACCGCTGCGACCGGTGCTGGAACTTAGCCTTTAAGTTTTTAGCTCTTTTGTGAGTTCAGTGACCGCTCCTGGGCTACATGCACCAAGGGCAGAATGGCTGAGTGGCCTGTGACCAGAAGGTTTTTGGATTTGTTTGTGAAGTAGGCCTCCAACCTAATAGCAATGGCCTCCAACCTATTTGCGATTTGTTTGTGAAGTGAGAATCTAACATTCTTTGCGACTCAGTTGGGTTCCACAACTGACACCATGAATGATTCAGTTGTTCGGCCAAGAGTGGGATTGACCGACCTCGTCGGAGGAATAGTCTGAAAACACCAAAGTTGAGCAGTTCATTTTTCGGAGCTTTAGGTTATATAGAGCTGTTGGGTTTTTTGATATCAGCTTTCCTTCAATCATAGAGGTTCTTTCAGTGGACTCTTCCAACAAGCCGGCAACCGGTACACGTGGAAGATACTTTACCAGAAGATAAGAGTTTCAAGGGACAAGTCAAATAGAAAGACACGGCTTTATGGATCACTTTTAGGCCGCTATCTCCTCAAGCTACACAAACTCAACTGTAACTCTCTTCGTCCTCACTCCTCAAAATTCTTGGAAACTTGAGCCGCTGCCCTCAGAACACCATCTGCCCTGTTGGGGACCGCATCGGAGAGTGGAAGCGCAATCGCTGCCATCACTTGGCAGGCAGGTGGGTCCCTGTTGAGGGAGACGGTAACCCCCTTGAAATCGCAGCAATCGGATTGCTTTGGAGATGGGCAAAACCACCGGCATTTGTGTACTGACTGATACTGACTGATAAGGAGCAATTGCATCTACTAGGAACAAGAAGCTACTAGTAACAAGGGCATCGCTACTAGGAGCAAGTGCATCGCTAATATAGTAGCTATTTTGCTACTAGGCACAAGAAGCTACTAGGAGCAAGGGCATCACTACTAGTAACAAGGACGCTACTAGGAGCAAGAAGCTACTAGTAGCTCCTGGCAGTACTACTAGGAGCAAGGACGCTACTAGGAGCAAAGGGCATCGCTACTGTAACAAGGACGCTACTAGGGGCGCTCCTGGCATCGCTACTAGTAACAAAGGGCATCGCTACTAGGAGCAAGGAACCTGATTCACTTTTCGAGCTTACTGTTATGTTGTTTTCTTTTCCAAGATTCGTCGTTCCCCCGATGGCCTCAACGGCCATCGTTGGATCACTACTTCGCAAATGCTGTGGGGTGCGTCTAGCCCAAATCTGCGAACGCAGGCAGCTGCATCCGAATCTACCTGGTCTGGTTTCCACGCAAGGCCGCTGAAAGAGAGGGCACCCTGTATGACCCTTGGCGCCTTGGTGGGGTGCATGGCAACATGCTTCCTGAAAAAAATACAGGAATGTCACAGAAAGAACATCAATTGTATAATATGTTGTACCAGAATTTGCCCTGGTCAGACCGTTTTCATTTTTGCCAACACCCCAACGAACACCGGTCAGCCGCCATCCACTCTCTTTGCCGGTGGGACCTCTCTCTGCTCAGACAGGAGCCTTGCAAGAGCGACAGCGCGGAGAATCCGCAGATCTTATTCAACACCACCTGCTGGGGAAGCCCAAATCCTGTAGCGTTCTTGCTCCGTTCGTAGCGATGCCAGGAGCGCCCCTAGTAGTGTCCTTGTTCCTAGTAGTAAGGCCAGGAGCCCCTAAGCCTAGTAGCGTTCCTAGTACCTGCTGGGGAAGCCCAAATCCTTCACAGTGAGGGGTCGTTCACAGCCTTTTTGCCAGAAAGTGAGAGGCAAGGAGCGAGGAGAGAGGCAAGGAGCCTTTGGTTTCAAGCAGTTGGGAGCACAGGATTTTCATGATTTTCGTAGGTCTTAAATGATTTAAATCACAGATGTATCTTTTTTTGTTAAGCTCTATAGACACATGAGCAGGACCCTCCCACATGTTAACCTCTGAGCAGCGTGGAACTGAGGCCGGAGGCATCCATTATATCCCCTATCTATCGGACAAGAAAACCACGGATGGGCTCGGTCGCAACGGCCCCGAGCGATGTTCCCTAAGGCTGGAATGTGGGCAAAGCCTGCTACAACGCCATGAAGGCGCGGGCCTCTGGTTGTGTTGTTCCTCTGAAACACAAAGAGACAGGAAGCCATCGCTGTTTTGGATGGTTTTGGGCCATCGTTCCTTTGCTTTCACGAACAGTTTCCGAGCAGCTGAAATCGTGAAGCTTTCGGGAAGACTCCATTGGCCATGACCCCTCGCCGTCGCCGCGTCACAGATGGGCTCGGTGCACAACCACCACATGACCTCGGTGGAATCCAAGTCGTTGGGGCGGCCCAGTGGGACACACTGGGCGCAGTCTGGACAAAGTGGGTCCGGAAGCGGACATGACGAAGCTTCAAAACTGGTTGTGCTCCAAAACTGGTTGGAATGGTTTTGCATGAGAGTAGCTATTATTGGCTATAAGATGCTAAGGCTATAAGTAGTAAGGACGCTACTAGGCGGAGGCCATCGCTACTAGCGTAAAGGCCCTTCCTACTAGTAGCAAGAAGCTAGTAGTAGCCGTTTGCTCTGCAGCAAGGAAGAACTGTAGTAAAAGGTCGTAAAAGTTTGTGCAGATGGTTTGCATGGGAGTTCCAAGTGTGGCATCTCCTTCGATCCAGTCTCAGAAGGCTGATTTGTCTGTCCGCACGCGCGGCGTGTGTCCGAATCTGTGACGTGACCGTGTGACATGCCTTTGCACCACACCACCAGCACTGATCTGGCTTTTCAGTGAGATTGATTTATTTCTTGTTCAACAGGTCCTTCTTAATTGAGACTCTGTGGGAAGCACATTCTCTTTCAAGGTAGCAGGCAACACAATGTTGGTTCTTCTGCGCCGTCACGGCTTTCTGTGCTTGTTCTCAGGTTGGGTGTCCCTTTTCCGTCAGCGACCCCGCTCTCTTAGGCAAGACATCTTCATTGTCAAGTTCAAGAAAGCAGCGGGTGTGACGCACGGCAACAAGTATGAGACGGATTGGATGAATTTACCACACATCAAGGAGTCCACAGGGTCGAGTTGAATGAACCTGCGCGACCAGATGTTGCTATGAAGCTTTCGTGCTGCGGAGTGGTTGAAGTGGCACGACCACTGGGTGGTTGAAGTGGAACTGGAATGTCTTGGAACATGTCTTGGAACTGGAGCAGAAACATCGTGGAACCAGGCACATCGTGAAACGATGAGTTTCATTGCAGCTGGAACGTTTGCTGCCCTGGAGGTTGAGAATGACGAAAGCACATGTAATCACAGTGACTCAGTCACTCTTTTTTAATCCCTGTGCAAAAACATGGAGGCAGTGTGGGAATCCAGCGTGTTCTTTAGATGCTGAGCGGAACATTTGTTCAACAGACTGTGACAAAAATGATACAAGTAGTAACAAGTGCATCGCTAGTAGTAACAAGTGCATCGCTAGTAGTAACAGGTGCATCGCTACTAGTAACAAGAAGCTAGTAGAAACAACAGTCATCGTAACTCATGCTCCGTCCAGCGCAGGACTCGGTCTTCGTCGGAGTGATGCCGCAAAACCTGGAGAAGAACAAGACCTCGAGCTTGGCCCAGCATGGGAAACCCGGTGGACATTTTTTCCCCAATAGCGATGCTATGGGGTCTTGCAAAACTAATAGGCGGACGGGCGCCGTCGGGTCACCGTCAGAGCTGGTGGGCGGATGGTGTCCCGGTCATGTTTTGATGGCGTCCGGGTCATGTGATGCTGGTGTCCCGGTCATGTTTTGATGGTGTCCCGATCATGTTTTGATGGTGTCCCGGTCATGTTTTGATGGTGTCCCGGTCATGTT